AAGACTGAGGTAGCTAATGACAACCGAATCAGAAAGAACTCAACAAGATACGAACAACGGGTTAATTGCGGACAGAACCCCCGTATTCAACTTATATGTTTGCAGATAAGCCCCCCGCTTGAAAATCTTTTGAAGCTTTTCACCTTATTAGGAGTCTATTTGTCAAAGAAACAATTTTATTTTTATATATGGGTAGAAAAGTAAGTAACTGTCTTTCCACCTTCTCCTTTTCCAACATCCAAGGTAAAATAAAAGGTAAGAAAATACATTTTGAAGGAAATATTTTTATCACATATTTTTACTTTTTTGTTAACTTCATTTGTGAAACAGAAAACATAAATTCAACAGTGTTTAACTTTTTAATTTTTAGTTAACTTATTATTATTATTTTGGATAATGAGTATTAGGATGAGAATTGGAAATAATAGAGCAAATACGCGTCAGTATCAGGTCAACCTTGAAATATGTCAAACACTCACTTTATTATTTTATTTATTTACCATGTCAGAAACTCTAATCATACCCAACCTACTTAATAACCAGATTATCCTAGTTTGATCTCTCTTATTCTTAACTCGATTATCGCTGAGTCATGTTGAGTCTAATGGTTATGACATAATTTCTTGTAATTGAGAAATAACACAAATCAATATTTGTTTATTATTTACATGAGCTATGTTATTTTGTATAACCAATTTGATAGCTTTAATTGGATTAAACCAGGTTCAAAAGGTCCCACTATAATCTGACAGCCTATTGTGCCGCAAACCCATTTATATGCAATCTACACTCAGATGATGCACCTCAACACTTTTGTTTCCTTTTTTTTAGAGGGAAATGTGGGGAAAGCCTGCCAAAAGTGCAGCTTTTGGCAGGCTTTCCACCCAAATCAAAGAGGCGATTTGGGTGGAAAGCCTGCCAAAAGCTGCACTTTTGGCAGGCTTTCCCCACATTTCCCTCTAAAAAAAGGAAACAAAAAGCCCCTAAGCATTCAATAAGAAGAAATTTAAGAGTTTCATATCATAAATTTACACTTATTAATTTTTTCATACAAAAGAAAGTATAGACACCATATAATCTTTAAATACTGAAGTAGAAATCTCGACCAAGGTTCATGCAGTAGAGAATTTCCCATGACAATCCCTTAGAAAGCAAGTAATGAAGTCCTAATGCTGGCAAAGCAGAAATTTAAAGGGTTTTTAGACATTAGTCCCTTAAATCTTTAATAATTGCATTTTAGTCTCTCAAATCAAGAAAATTGCATTTTGAGTCCCCAAATCTTCAATAATTGCATCTTAGTCCCTCGAATCTAGGAAATTGCACATTAGTCCTTAAATCCTATAGGGTCTTGCAAAATGATCCCTCTATTATTATTTCAGTTAAAAAAACAAATCATGATTGGGTTCACTCCTAATCCAAAATCTGCAATCACCAAACTACCTATCTCTCCGATGTTTTAACTTTTTGTGAAGCTCAACTTTGGTTAGGCTTTTTTGCTGACCATTAGAGAAGAAAAACTCAGGTGAGTTTGAATTTATTTTAAACAGGTATTGGGTTTAAGCCTATCAATAAATAGGTTGAGGAACATTATAGAGGGTTAAAATGGTCATTTTGTCTCTAACAGTTAGACTAACTTGAAGGGTGGTCATTTTGTAGGACCCTATAGGATTTGAGGGGCTAATACGCAACTTTAAATATTCGAGGGACTAATACGCAATTATTGAAGATAAGGGACTAATATGCAATTTCAAGATTTAAGGGACTAACATGAAATTATTGAATATGTAAGGGACTCATATCTAAAAACTCCAAATTAAAACATGAACACGAACTAGTCAGTCTAGTCTATTAACTTATCTCACATATACATCAGTTACACTGTCAATAATCCCTCTCTCAATTTCTCAACACGAAAGAAGCGCTGATGGTTAGCGTCCAAGAAAACCAAAGCATTTTCAGAAGAAGAAAACAGTGACATCGCACGTAAAGCTGAAAGACAAAGCCCGTGACGTCGCTGGACATTCTTCGTTCTCGCGCGCCATAACCTGGATGATGGGAGGTGACAAATATTTCTCTAAATGCCGGAATTTGATCTGAGGTAGCTCTTGAGCTTTGATATATGGCCATGAAACCAACTGACCAACCGCCACAACACGGTTTTCTGACCTCCAGAAGAAAAACATGTAATCACATCAGAGTTACTGCTACCGTGTTTTGTTCCGAAACAAAGATATCCATGGAGGCAGTTCATCCTATATATGCAGATATTCATGACCGAGAGGTATTGGATTCTCTTTCGGATAATGTTAGAAAAAATAATGGAGGAGAGAGAATTTCTGAGGCGTGATACGATTTCCTTACAGAAATATTTGCCCCACTTTAAATTCAAAGTTGCTATAGGTTAATGCAAATTTTCTTCCCAGGATACAACAAAAAATAAAAATTCCAGCAAGCAAATCTAGAATTTTCCACCAACTCTTTGTGAAACAAGTTTGTAGTATTGCAGATCTTTTTTAGAGAAAAGTTTTGAGAAAGAAGTGAAGTGAAGATTTCTGAATTCATAAACTATTTATAGGTTCGAAAAAGGTGCTTCCAACAGTCATAACTTTTCAAAACACCCTTTGAAACAAAACAGACACTTTTCAACAGCGACTTGTCTATTTATGTTTTGATAAATTCAAAATTTTAAAATAATAATAATAAATAAAGTAATCAAAATATATATACTAAAAAGTTAGAATATTTAAGCTGTAGCGACAAGTGTGTCAAAATCGCGCTACCCGTATGCGGGATTAGAAGCATATACTATGATCCATTTATCAAAGCTTAATAATCATTAAATGCTTTAAAAACTCTAAAAGAATGATCAAATATCCGATGTGGGACTATCTTGTTTTTACAATAGGCCCTGAAAGGAGAAGGGATTACTAGTTTTATTGATTTAGTATGCTCATGGAAGTGAGGAGAATACCTGACTTGTGAAAATGGGAGTATCACCGAGCCTTCAACTCAAAGATGAGATGATGAAACAAGAGATATGGTAGAGAGATTCCTAAGCTCCTTCAAGGGCATTCTTTTAGTTTCAAATTTAAATTAAGCCTTCCAGCGATGAAGCAGTAGCAGATCAGAAGCACCTCAAACACTGATCTTTGCGCGCTCCCAATGACATCAAATGTTGTTGTTCTCCGATAAAAGTCCGCTTACTCAAGAGAAATGTAGCCTCCATAGGAGAGTGGAAGCTGATGATGTTCTTTCAGTTATTTGGTAACCCAGATGAAAGTTGATTGTATGTCAGACATGGCTTCAAACAAAATTTTTACACGTATCGAAAGTTTAGACCTAGACAATCTTCAGGAAGGCAAAAAATCGATGACGGTTAGGTGCCTGAAAATTGACTACCAGCTTATATATGTTCGTGCCTCCTAACGTATAATAACAGGAGCGTTTGTTTAGGAGATTTGACACGAACAGGGGAGTAAGGTGAGAAAGAGAGGATTCAAGAACACTTAGATGGTGAATTGGTTCAAATAGCAGGATACTTGCCAACCCTCAACATCCTTAAATAATCCCCAAGAGAAAAATAGCTTATTAAGGGGAAATATCCAAGTGCAAATTTCGAATTGGCAATTTAGTGCAACAGACACTGCCTGAAATGCTATAGTCGAGTTCTCAATTAATCCTTAAGAGAAACAATGTTTGATCATAGAGATAGCTGCTTGGTAGCATCAGAATTTTACTGGATGCTGATGGATAAAACTGACAAAGAAAGATCGTAATTTTTCACAAAACAGAACAAGAACAAACCTGAAGAAAACAAAGCAAGATTCGGAGATATGAGAAATTTGTGTGTATTCTACTAAGGTTCCGAGATATGAGAAATTTGTGTGTATTCTTCCAGGTAGATTTAATAGCCCTTATAACAGCTAGCCCTTCAAGTTTGTTAAACATTATTATTCTAAGGTGCCAATATTTTTTGCCCCTCTTTTTTTAGGTAAGTTTTTTATTCTAAGGTGTCAAAGGTAGATCTATAAATTTTACTAAATCAACCGTATATGAGGTAAGGTTTACAATGTGATGTGTCTCCAGTTACAACAGAGTAATACTTGGAAATTCAATTTCTGCATAGCCAAAGCAAACTCAAAGAAAAAACACCATTAATTCAACCTGAAGAAACAAAGATTCAGGGTGCATATTGGTCATATATAAACAACAATTGATTTCAGGGACATTTGTCTTGTCTGAAAATAGATACTGAAATTTCAAATTCATGGATAGATACGCAATATTAGGACCAAGAGGCACAAAGATAAGCTCAACTCAAGTTCACATTAAAGTTGATGATCACAAACACTTATGCTTCACATGACTCCAAGCATTCTATTTAAGATTCATTCTCACAAAGAAATATTATTCAATTCAAAATAATATGTATAAAATTCTAGTTCATACAATTTTCTAGGAGCCGAACTGTATTTAGGCTGATATATGCTCAACAATATTATTTAACTCAAACACCACCATAACTTCCACATATTACAATAAAAACCCAACCCTATTTCATAATTCAATATCAATAATCAATACAGAATAACAAACTGAAAATTACACTCCATCATTCGGAACCTTGTGCTGCCATTTCTTTTCTGTAAGCTTGCAATCTCTCCTTAAACTTCTTGCTCTCCTCAAAGTTCGCCTTCCTCTTCACCGCTTTCTGTGCAAACAAATGATATATTTTCACAGATCTCATAACCTCATAAACCAAATTATTAACACAAAATAGAAGAGCTCAATCTCACTTCTTGGCGAAAGCATTTGTCGAGCTTTATCTTGAGCTCAGTACATTTTCCAAAGAATTTCCCAACTGGATGATCGGTATGACACTTTTGAAACTCCTCAATTATCTAAAAATCACAATTTGAGAAAACCCAAGTCAAAAAATTATCTAGTTAGATGAAATCAATCAATAAAAATGAACAAATTTAAAATTTACATACATCAGCACACATGGGATGCCTGTGTAAAGTTAGAGGAGGATGCATTTGATCAACCTACAAAATAAATTACTCTGAACAAAATTAACAAAATATCTCATGAAATTATTTTTTTACTAGAGAGAAAAAAATAGTTACCTGCAAAATCGCTTGGGATTAAGAAAAAGGGGAATCAAATTTAGGGTTCAGAGGTTGATTTTAGCCACAAAATAAGTTGCATAACAGGTCAAATCTAAACAAGATTTTATCCATTACTAAACCCGATTTCATTAACAACTACGAACAGGGGCAGTTGCACATTAGTCTCATAAATGATAAATTAATTTGTAATCATATATGATACAAATGAAACTATAATTACACCATGAATGAAAATAGTGGCATTCACTATCGTTTAGATACATGATGACTTGAAACCAGGCATGCCTAATTCACAAATGAAACTACAAGTGCACCATGAATGAAAATAGTGGCATTAACTGTGTTACCGTAGTTAAGATACACGATGACTTGAAACCAAGCATGCCTAATTCATGGTGCTAGTAACTCTGATGTGATTACATGTTTTTTTCTGAAGGTCAGAAAACCTTCTTGTGGTGGTTTGTCAGTTGGCTTCATGGCCATATATCATTATATCAAAGCTCAAGAGCTACCTCAGATCAAATTCCAGCACCCAGAGAAATCTTTGTCACCTCCATCATTCAGATCATAAAGAGCGAGAACGAAGGCAGTCTTCAAAGAGCTGACTGAGATTTGTTCTGTTCTGTGTATAATGTATGCATTGTCCAACGATGTCACTTTGTCTTTTGGCTTTATGGTCGGTGTCAATGTTTTCTGCTTCTGTGTATAATGTATACAGTGTAACTGATGTATATGTGAGATAAGTTAATAGACTAGTTCACGTGCATAAAAACATAGTGCCATTTTAAATTTAAGGCTTCTAGATATTAGTCCCTTAAATCTTCAATAATTTCATACTAATCCCTTAAATCTTGAAAATCTATCAAATGGCTAATTTCATCTAGCGACAAACTTAGACAACTTAGAATATATAATCAATAAACTCTAAATAAAAATAAAAGTAAACAACAAGAACTGCACACTTAGACAACTTAGAATATATAATCAATAAACTCTAAATAAAAATAAAAGTAAACAACAAGAACTGCACTTGCACACAACAAAACCAGTTTTCTGGATCTCTTAACCAAAAATTGATTAAACTATTACCATATTATAACTGAGTAGAAAATTACTTTGTGGCAAACATGAACTGAAAATCAAAACAAAGAACATCAATTTGTAATCATATATAATACAAATGAAACTATAATTACACCATGAATGAAAATAGTGGCATGCACTATAGTTAACATACACAAGGACTTGGAACAAGGCATTCCTAATTCACAAACACAAATTGAAATGCAACACAAGGCATTCAACACATTAGTTATAAATTAGAATGCTTACGAAATAAATTTGGCAAGTTATCCCTCCAGGGGTTCACAAAGTAATGGCTTTACGTCCCTTATGCATTCTACTCCTTTCTAAACACCACCTTCTTCAGAAGTATTAATGTGATTTTTCCAAAAACGTACGCTGAAATAATCTGATTCACCAATTAGAGGAACATAACCAAAATAGGCACAAATTGAGAGCATTTGGATGTGTGAATCCTCTACTTCTCCTTCAAAAGAGTACAGGATAATGTTCATCTATAGCTTTCAAGCAATAAAGAAAAAAAAAATGAAATACAAAAAAACATATCAATCACTGATACTAATTTATCTGCGGATCATTTCAGCAAACACCTAGCAAGCATAAACTAACTAAAAATCACATGGGTTTTGAAGAAGCACGGGATAATGCTCATCTAAACCAAGCAACGAAATTTGAGAGGAAATTTAACATGAGATCGTTGAGGGAGGAAAAACCCTAACAAACCCTAGAATTCCGTAGGAACTGGGACCAGCTCTCACCTCTGAACTCGACCAAATGAGCAGCCACCACCAAATCCAAAACCGAAGCCCTAGAAGCGGACGCTCTGGCGAAATGTAGGCCGCCGAGATGCTCGAGGTCGAAGATGGTGAACAAAATCAATGGCGGCGACGAGATCGAGGGCGAGTCGTTTCAAGACGACGAAAGGGGGGAGAGAAGGAGAGAGCGAGGGAGGGAGAACGGAGGCAATAGATAGAGAGAAAAAAACCCGAAGTTATAAAAAGTATGGGTGAAGGCAGATAAACTTTAACCCCGTTACCTATGTACCAACCTAGCCTTATAAGCTTGTTTGTCCTGGGGATAAAGAGGGATAAGGAAATTTAGGCCTCGTTTGGTAGGCGGGAATGGGATGGAATGGAATGGCATTCTCACTTCCCATTCCTTCATACCAAACAAACCAACTTTTTAGATGTTGGAATGATCATTCCCAGGGAATGACCATTCTCACTTTTTGTGGGAATGAGCATTCCAAGTGAGAAGATAGGGAATGGTCATTCCCATTCAAGAGAGAATCAAATCAGTTATTTATTTTTTAATTATACCCCTATTAATCAACTGATTTCCACATTAGTAATTCTGACATCCTTTTCATATGCAATATGCATCAACTGTGGATATCATTCTTTATATTTTTTTTGGACCTATGAAAGATGCGATAATCTTTTATTTATTTTTCTTTAATTTTTTAAGACTAAGAAATAGTGAGTATTGTTTAAAAAATATAAATAGAACATACACTTGAGAGATAACATGCGCAATAGTATAACATGCACAGAAATTAGTATAACATATGCATAAATAAAATTGTTTAGTTATTATCATTAATGTTTATTTTTATCTTATTAAAAATATATGTTGTTGTAAGGACATTATTAGAAAATGTGATTCCATTCTCACTTGTGGACAAGTGATACCAAACATGGGAATGAGAACGGGATTTTCATTCTAGCCTCATTCTACTCAAACATGAGAATGTGAATGACCATTCCATTCCCACATACAATCCATTTCATTCCTTCTTTCATTCCATTCTCACTTATGTCCATTCTCGCGTACCAAACGAGGCGTTAGGGGAATCTTTTACTCTCGTTTGGGAATAAACTTATGCTAAATAATGAGAGAGAAAGGAAGGCGAAGAAGACGAGAAAAATTAAGTTTCACAAGCGAGGTGAAATAAGTTCCCATTGACTTCTATTGCCAAATTCCCAAACAAGTTTTACATGTTCCCTTACCTTCCCTTAGAGGGGTTATTGGTTGGAACATTTTAGGGGATAATAGGATAATTTTGGGGATTCTATTTCAAAATGTTATTCATTAGGACAATGGAACAAGGATAATACTTTTTTGTGTTATTAGTTTTTTAGAACACTAGTGAGACAATTACATCACTTGGGATAAAATTACCCAGTCATATACAAAAAATTTGTCCCAATAGTAAAAATTTACCTCATCGTCTATATTGGAACAATGTTATCCACTTTGAAGGCAATTGGAATAATTTTAAAATATTTTTGTATTAATTAACTAATACATGCTAATTATATTATAAATATATGACATGATATATAAAATATAACATATATTAATATTTTAATAACATAATTTAATAATATATTAATAATATTATATAATAACATATATTAATAATATTATATAATAACATATATTAATAATATTATATAATAACATATATTAATATTTTAATAACATATATATAATATTTTAATAGCATATATTAATAATATTATGTAATATATTATTATATAATATTAATTAGTACATTATATCCTATGATACTGTATTATAATATATTAAATTAAATAATATATTATTAAAGTATTATATTATATATATTATTCATATGTTATATCAATTATTATATAATGTAGCATACTAATATAATGTTATTAGTAATTATTGTATAACATATTATATTTTTGTATAAATAAAATAATGTATTATATTAAATATTATATAGCATACTAATATAATGTTAATTAGTAATTATTATATAACATATTATATTTTTGTATAAATAAAATAATATATTATATTAAATATTATATTAAATATATTGATATTATATTATATTAATTATTATATATAGTATATCATGCTAATACAATATAATATAATACAATATAATATTTAATAATAGTAATTTGTAAGTATAGTATAATATATTATATTTTAATATAAAGTAAAATAATATTTATATTATAATAATATACTAAACCAAGTGGATAAGTTAATATAGAAGTAATTAATAGATAAAATTATTTTTTAATAAGGTGTCACATTATCATTTATCCCACATGAATTGTCAAATCAAAGGTTCAAATTATCACATTATCCCACTTTACCCCACCCAAAATATCCCAAAGGGTAAAATTGTTCCATTGGAATAATTTTCCCACTTGGCCCCAATTTATCCCAACCAATAACAACCCCCCCCCATGAACTATAGTCATTGAGATCTTCACTATGTGCAAATCTAAATAAGCCCTTAAGTGCTAAATCGTCTCTCAAATTTCAACATGTGTTTATTTGTCCCTCAAAATTTCAATTATCTAGCAAATTTGTCCCTCATCTAGAGATTCTATTAATTTGCCCAACATCTAAAATTACCCAGATGTCTCTTAGTTTTTCACATGAGTTTTTTTAACTCTAGTTGGGAATATAACGTTGGAAAGAGCATTGGGTTGGGTTTGGGGAAGCTTCTAATCGTTAGAGAGGAAGTTAGTGCATTTTGGTTCTAGTTGGAGTAGGTTGTTGGTATAAACCCATTATAAAAATGGGTTGGTAAGGTTTTAAATGACGGGTTTAATTATGAGTGCAGGTAGTAACTAAAAAAACCTTCTAATTACGTTAAAGTTAGCAGAAGTTCACTCTTATAAATAACATCACCTAACAAGATGGAGAAATTGCAAGAAATTTGAAGATTTGAGGGATTAATAAGCAAATATTGAGATTGGCCAGACTATTTGATAACTAAAGATGATTTAAATGACTACTATGCAATTACCCCTTACAAATAATATCTTACACCGGGGGGAAAATTACAATTATACCTTTCCGCCTTTTCTGAGGAAAAAAAGAAGTCATTGTGTTAATTTTATGGGTGAGCAAATGGTCAATTCGAATGATGTTAGCAATTTTTAGCTAAATTTAACTGACCCAAAATAAAAATTCAAACCAAACGCAACTAAGCCTCACCAAACGCAAGGCAAACACCGACTACAGCTTATATATATACTAGTGTGAACACCGTGCAAAGCACGACATATTTTTTTTCCCCCGCTACAGTATTTCTGGTTTTAACTGCTACAATATTTTTTGAATTGCTACATTACCCCGCTGCTACAGTATCCCGTGTGCTACAGTAAAATTTTCCAAAAGACTACATTGCCCAGTTCCATGTTGCTGCAGTAATGTTACTGTAGCATTTACTATAGTATGAATAGTGTATATATATACACACACTAGTGGGAACACCGTGCAAAACACGACATATTTTTTTGCGCCGCTATAATAAACCAGGTTTTAACTGCTACAGTTTTTTTAATTTTTGAATTGCTACAGTGTCTTGCCTCTGCTACAGCCCCTCCCCCCGCGCTACAATGATATTTTTCAAAAACAACATCCAATCTCATACGTGCTACAATAATAATGTTATCATAAATGCTATTGTAGTATTTACTGTAGCGTGAATAGTGAATCTTGAATTCTCTCATTTGTATAGAGGAGTGTATATATATATGTGTGTGTACAAATATTTCTTGAAACTCAAGCCTCGTCTAAGGGGGTGTTTGGTTCACCCATTTTATAGAAAACTTTTAGTAAAATACCTGACAATATGACAATTTCATAATTTAAAGGTTTATGTATATTTTCTATAAACTATAGTTAGTTCAAAAAAATTTATAGAAATGTTTTCTATAAAGTAGGAAAAAGTATCTCATTTTATAGAAATTAACTTCCTCTCAAAATAGAAGGAAATTGATGAGAAATCTTACAATTCCTATTAAAATAATAATATAACAAGATTTCTATTAAAATAATAATATAACTAACTCATACCTTATTTCACATC